TATGTGCCATCAAGTCGTTGTTGACTCTTACTCTGCACATTAATATAGCTGAAAATTTATATTTTGAGGCATCCAGGTTATAACATAATTTTACTCATTTATGGCAATTTTGTAATCAATAAACATATTGATTATAACCCTAACCCTTTATGATGTATGGTAATGCATGGCAGACTACTTGAATTTAATGAAATTTAATAAAAGAAGATTTAAATAAGGTCTTGGACTTTTAAATAATTTTCATAGACTATTTATTGGCATTGTTCACAAAAAATAAGTATATCTACTGTACAATAATTCTGTTTCCATAGATAAATTATCATAATTTTCTTCAGAAAGAAGATCACAAAATGCAAACTCTTATATTTTCTGTTCCTCTGAAAATATTAGGAAGATTTAGGGATATCTTGGCTGAATGCTGAAATGTTTTGTGGATTTCTCTGGAACATTTGTCTTTATACTAGGTGCTGAGATTTAAGTGCATATCTTTATGTTTTGAAGCCTGCCTAAACTTCTGATAATGTCTACCATATGGCAGATACCACCACACTGAGTTGATCACATTCCAATACTTTTCATTTGGAACACTCTTCAAAGCAGATTGCTGATGACACTACCCTGATAGCTGAAAATACAAAGGATCTGCAAGCCCTAGTACTAAAAATCAAAGAGCACAGTGCAAAAATGGGACTAAAATTAAATATAAAGGAGATGAAACTAATGACAACAGGTAGAACAACCAACCTTAGAACTGACAATGAAGATATTGAAGTGGTGGATAGCTTCTGCCTTTTAGGATCAACCATCATCAGTAAAGGAACAAGCAATCAAGAAATGCACCGCAGACTAGCACTTGGTAGAGCAGCCATGAAGCCTTGGAAAAGATATTCAAATGCCATGATGTGTTTATACCTACAAAGATCAGAATCATGCAAGCCATGGTATTCCCTGTGACACTCTATGGAAGCAAAAGTTGGATTTTAAAGAAGCAGGATAGGAAGAGCATTGACTCTTTTGAACTTTGGTGTTGGAGAAGACTCCTGAGAATACTGTGGACAGCCAAGAAAGCAAAGTGATGGATCATCAAAAAATTAACCCAGAGTTCTCCCTCAAGGCACAAATAACCAGGCTCAAATTATCCTACTTTGGACAAATTATGTGAAGATCCAGCTCTCTGGAAAAGGTTCTAATACTGGGAAAGGTGGAAGGAAGAAGAAGAGGATGACCAGCAGCAAAGTGGATGGACTCATTTACAGTGGTGATGAGTACACCATTGGGAGACTTGACAGGTTAGGGATAGATTGTTGTGGAGAAAATCTATCTATGTTGTCACTAGGAGTCGAAAACAACTCGATGGCACATAATCAAGGCAGATTGATGTTACTGTACACTCAATGAATGTGGAATGTATTTTAAACATTTTTGTTACAAACTAAGTGAAAAAAAAATCTGGAAAATGGATAGGAAGGAATGATATGATGCTGCACATGCAGGGGAGGGTGGGTTTTTTTCCCAAGTAGTTTTGTTAAAGATTATAATTACAATAGTAAAAACTAATACAAACTAAAAATAGAAAGAAGGAATAAAAGGTCCAAAGGGAAAAGATAGGAAAGACATAAAGAAGAGAAAGAAAAAAAAAGACTATAGTAAAGAAAAAGAAAAGAAATATATAAAGAAGTGACTCCCAACCTTCATCACAACAAGTGTAAACAATTTTAGTAACTTTTCACTTCCTCTTAAGTTACAACAAATGATCTCTTCTTCCCATATCCCATCTCTTATCTATATCTTTCCTATGTAACAACCTTTGCAGGTCTCAAAGCGTTTCCACTTTATAAAGCTGGGATCTGGGTATTACTCCCTCTCTGCTACAACTGCAGACAGAATGTTGATTGGCAGAACCACATCTTTGAAAACGCCCTTTTGGAAAAAGTTATACCCTATATTTGTGCCATATTTGTGTTGCAGGTTATCAGATAGGCTAATAATTATCAAAGATATTTCCTTTCTTTGTTCATCTCACTGGATCTGTGTGTTCCATAAATACATTATTCAATTTGATCCCCTGCTTATGAAATATTTTACTCTACATTGTATTGAAGAAGGGTCTGGAAGGATAAGCCTGCATTTGGTTGAACACTTTATCCCTTTCGGGTTTTATATGTGTGTTGTTATTGCTGATTTTATTAACTGCTTCAATCAAGGCAAATCTATGCTTATGGCAGCGAGGTGCACTCTTATTTACAAGACCAGATGTGGCAGCTCCTGAAAGCTTTGGATGCAGCCTGCAGACCTCCTTCAGAAATTGCCACTAAGCTATAATTTTTTATGTAATGAAAAAAGAAACATCAAGTAATAACATAGTATTTAATGCTCAGTTTTAATTAAATTCAGTCAGATGTGCTTTCCTCCCTGGCCCTGATCACTTTCTTGTCCCAGACTCATCTACTTTTTGGAATGAGCCCCCCAGCAAAGCTAAGTGCAGCTCTCAGACTGAAAAAATGTTGCTTGCCCCTGGCTTATGGGAATAACTTCTGACTGGCAGGACTGTGTACCCTTATGTTACTAGAAATAGATCATAGCATTTTTTTTCCAGCAATTAAATGTTCTGGTCCTTATTGTTGAACAAATATTTGGCCCACAGGATTATGTCCATCCTGCTGTGGCTGCAGGTTGATAGTATGAATTATGTGGGTTCAGTTTTAAAAAAAAGTAAAAAAAAAAAGACTAAATATTTTGCTCCTTTTTCACTTTAATTTCTCTTCCATTGGAAATTGAAGTTAAGCTACATAAAAGCATTGTCCAGACAGTTATTTAAACTGTATGCGGCAGTATTGGAAACAAGCTAGAAGTTCCAGCATGTCTTATCTTTTTCACAAATTCTTATTCAGTTTCTTGGGAGGGGAGGGTGTTGACTCATAAGCTATGTTCACAATTTGCATTAAGCCATTATCTCACTTCTCTGAATTTGTAGTAAGCCATTGTTATTCGTCTTCCAAATCAAGAACAAAAAAACTGTTCAAAGTTGGCTTTTAAATTGTCTTGGAGAGAAAATACTTTTTTAATAGTAAATGTATTAAAAATTACTATTACAAAGATAAAAACTAATACAAACTAAAAAAAAATAAAAGAATAAAAATAGAAAATAGAAAGTGCCGAAAAGAAAAAAATAGAAAAATAGAAAAGAAAGAAAAAATAAGAATATAATAAAGAAAAAGAAATATATAAAGAAATGACTTCCCCCTTCATCACGTGTATAAACAATTTTAGTAAATTTTCACCTTCTTAAAATACAATAAATGATCTCTTCTTCCACAACCCATCTCTTATCTATAAACAAATCCTTAAAGCCTCTTTGTTTCAGTCCTGATCAGCAAAAGTCAATTAAAGGTTACCAGAGATAACATATCTGTTTTAACTTTGATCAAATAAACCAACTTTATATTCCTTCCTTTTACTTTTAACAATCTTGCTCTTTAGTCCTTTCAAATAATGTCCTAAAACTTGATTTCTTTTCATTTTTTCTTTGTCCTTTCTCACAAAATCCTTCAAGCTTTAATAAGACTCTTTTGTAAATACAGTATAGGAAAGTTATCCAGGTCCTCTTTTGATTTATTATTTGTATATCCCTTTTAATTATTAAGACATCAGCCAGTTTCATTTGAATATCCAGCGTAGCCTCTTTTTCCATATCATTCTTGTAGCCTGTCATTTTTATATCTACTTTCAGATCAGTCTCAATCTTGTCAGGGAAAACATGTTCCTCTTTCATAACATCTTGTAAACACAGTCTATCTAAAGAGGCAGACACTCTTTAAATTAACTTCTGGGTCCATTGTTCACAAATATCCTTCAGTATGTCCAAAGTTAAAATATTTTGCTTCATTGTGTATTACTAAGTCAAATGTAAGTGCTCTTCTCCTTTAATTGTACTCTTTAGTTCCTTCTGGTTCCCTCTAGTGTCCAACCTTCAAGGTCTCATCCTATCCCGTTTTTTTAAAGAGAATTCCAAACAAAACATTTTCCTATGGGAAGGATTATTTTAATTAATTCTAAAATATTATTTCAAATGCATCTGGACCCTTAGTCCATTTACAACTTTCCAAAACCAAAGTTCTCATCACCCTTTTGCTGTTTATTCCACCAGACACACACACACACGATTTTTTTTAAGTCCTTAAACTTGTGTTTAAAACTTGGTTTGCTAAGGGTTGAAGGAAACTCACCTGGTGTTTTCAGATTTATTAATCCAAAGGTTCCTAATAGCTAAAAAGTAGTTAACAAGCAATTTTCAAAAGTGATTAGAAAAGGAAGTATGCAAACCCAGCATCCTTGAAGGCGCTGACCATGGTTTGGGAAAGATGGCTATTCCTTCATCTGCCAGAGCTCCAAACACGCCAGAGACCTCTGTCTTGCAATCTTCTGTATGGAGCACTTGTTCTCAAGTTCGCTCCTTGTCCGGAGAAGAATTACAAAGAGCTGGTCTACTTGTCAGCCCTAAAAGCAGAGCCATCTTCAATTCTCCATTTCTTCCCCAGATGTCTCGGGTTGGAGAGAAAATACTAAGTCTACTAGGCTGATTTGGAAATCACTTCAACCTATGATTAGTGCTAAACAAGAAACTGAAAGGAGAAACCATGTGCTGAAGTGGAAGATGAAAGAGAATGCAAACCTCCAGCTATTTTCTAGTTGACTGGATGAATTGAACCTTGGGATTTAAACAGAACTCCAGATTCATTCATTCATATGCCTATGCCTATGCCTATTAATTATATGGTTGCCCATCTATCCAAGAAACACTGGGTGGCAAACAAACAAAAACATATGAGCAGATTATTTTTATTTTATTTCTCAAATTGGTCACCACACATCTCATTGAAATGACTTTGGGTGGTTTACAGCAGAGATAAAATTCATTAAAATACAATATATGCAATTATGCCTTTGAAACATTCACTATAGGTATATTAATGTTACTTAACTATTTTTTGATCTTCCAGAATCGAATGGAGGAAAGCAAAGCACTATTTAGGACAATTATCACATATCCTTGGTTCCAGAATTCTTCAGTCATTCTATTCTTGAATAAGAAAGATCTTTTAGAGGAAAAAATAATGTACTCACATCTAGTTGACTATTTCCCAGAGTATGATGGTAAGTTTGTTTCTTTTTTAAGATATTGTGTGCAAACAGTACAATAGCAAAAATACAACATTATAGAGTTGATAGAAGAGAAGAAGCTTGCCTTCTGAGGTTCTTTGATACTACAGCCACCGTTCCAAAACTTCGAATTAAACGGTGCATTCTTAATTACATGTTCAGAGTGTCAGTTGTTTGTTAACCCTTGAACATGGTTGTGTGTTCAGTTTCTACATGGTTTGTGTCTTCAGTTCATCTGAATAAGATTTGAGGTGGAGGAAATACTATCCATATGACTGGAGAAGGTTGTGTGTATTAAACTATCTTGTTATATGTACATAATCAGAGTGATGGAGTTTAACATCTCTGACATTCTTCCTAATCTCATGGGATTAACAAAATAGGAAAATTCAAATTCAGATGCTACGCAAGGAGACTTTCATGTCTTACTAAAAGGATGTGGTTTGTTAAATTGCTAATTACATATTCTATGCCCTGTCCCTCCACTTATTGAGAAAGATAGTGCACCTGTTGAAAAAATTTCCAGTAATTGAAGCAAAGAAAAGGAGTTTTTTTCCTCCTCACTTTTCCTTCCACCCTTGGAAAGCTGACAGATTTCTTTCCCAATGGCTACATTGCTTCGAGTATTCATCTGTCTCCCAATGGTAGTCACTCTAATCTTGTTTTAAAATGAGATCATTTTGAGGCACTTATCTTCTTTCTCAATCATTTCTCCCTCTGTATTCGTTTTATTTGCTTAAAGTATTGGAGTACTTTAGCTCCCATTCTAAAGTACTGAGAAATTCTTGCCTTCTGTTTGTTTTTAACCAGCTTTGGTTAAGTTACAACTCTCCAACTTTACACGGTTGTTGATGATGTTAGGATGTGGCATTTTGCAAAGTCTGGAGGACTACAACTGCTCTTCCATCCTTCAATATTCAGTCCTCATTTCTTGCTCAGAGATCACAATGTAATAATAGCCATTTATTTCCTTTTCTAAAGATAAATTCAATATACTTCTTTTCTGGTGTAACAGGACCTCAACGAGATGCACAGGCAGCAAGAGAATTTATCTTGAAGATGTTTGTTGATCTGAATCCTGAGAGTGAAAAAATTATCTACTCCCATTTCACGTGTGCCACAGATACAGAGAATATCCGCTTCGTCTTTGCTGCTGTCAAGGACACTATCTTACAGTTAAACCTGAAGGAGTACAACTTGGTCTAACTGTGCCTCTTAGATCTCCACCCACCCGCTTTGGGCAATTGAAGATATTCAAGAGGGATTGTATTATCTGTGAAAATGATCTGCATCATACTAATTTATTGCTGGCCTGGACTCTGTTAATATTTGCAGAGTTTGTAGTAAATATTACAATTTTATTTAAATTTTACAGAGGAAAAAAAAGATGCTGAACTACATTCACAGCACATTTCCTCATTTTTTAAGTCAAAATTTTGTGACTTAATGTGTTCTAAATTCTCAGTTGTGCACACACATAAGAATAGGGGTTTGGGTTGATTTTGTTGTTGTGACTGAAGCAAAATCAAGTTGGGGTCTCCCTCCTATTGTCTCTGCCTTTGTCTGTTTTGATTTATTTTTTCAGGTACAATTACCTGTCCCCACAAGTTTCATTTCCAGGTTTCCTCCTTAGATCAGTGAAAAAAAAAAACTGTCACTAGATTTTAAGCCATCCGAAACTACTTTTATGAGGAATCGAATCTATTGATACCCTAATTTTATTTATTTATTGGCAAATGTAAAGTATACCTAGCTTTTGGTATCAACTTTGCACTGAAGGAATGTTGTTCATTGGGAATAGTGATTATAGCAGTGTTAAAGATTTTTATCTATAATTGTACCATAGGAAATCAGCAAACCACAGAACACAGCAACAAATTACTAAGAAAGAGGAACATTTCTTGAAGCAGGATAGCTTTTTGATTTGTAATTGCCATTCATTCTCTTCCAAAACCATTCTTTAAAAAAAAATCCCTCCCCCTTCCTTTTTCTTTTTCTTCCTTGCCAAATATATACCATGGAGCTACAGTAGCCTGGAACTTCTGTTTTGATTTATTTTTAAATTAAGCAGACTATTTAGATTTCTCATCCCAATTTCAGGGTTTTTTTTAATTGTCTGCAAAGTACTATGTTGCCAGATTTGGCTCTTTTTTTCTTATAAACATAGTAAATGTCCCTCCTTGTGGGGGAGTTGGGCAGTGATATAAATTTGATATATAAATAAATAAAAATAAATACAAAATGTAAGATGGTGATTTAAAATGCCAAGTTAACTGATTGGGAATCTCTTCCAGACAACTGCCAAATGTTAAAGCAACTAGATTTTAGCTTTTTTGTTTCTTCTTTCTACTAAAAAGCATTCCATTTCTCAATGCCAAGCATTCCCCTCTCAACATTACAAGTGAAAATTGGTGCTACATACATATGCATATGGCCTAATTCACAGTTTTAATATCTAAAGTGCCATAAGATTGGACAGTGTTCATATTTTCCTTCTTTATTAAGGCATGTTTAATGGGAAAAGACAAAATTAAAATAATTTTTAAATGGGACCCTTTGTAAGACAGAGAGAGAGTATGTACATATAAAGTTGTATCTGTGTGGGACATGGCAAAATGGAAGGCTAAACCTTCCCTACTATGCATAATTATTTGCGAACAAGTCCAATGGATTCAGAAAAATGCATTCCGAGCAAAGAGGCATAGGATTGAACTGTAAGTATATCAGTTTTAATAATGGAATGAAAAGAACCGCACCTGCTTTGGTGAACATCTCTCTCTCTCTCCCCCCCTCTTTCTTGGTACCTTGGACTGAAATCAAATTTATAAAGTTTTGTGTAAAACAACTCTGTAAATAAAAATGGTCAGTCTGGAGAGTTGTACACATGACGTAGAAGACTCAGATATGAAATTGGACTAGTTTTTCTAAAAGGTGATTTTTGCAACTCTAGGGTTAAAATAAATTCTCTGCATTAGACTTTGGGGCAGAGGAGACACTGAATACGATAAATTACTGCTAAACTGTAGGAGCAATCTGCCAAGCATTAGTATTACTGGCACAAGGACCAGATTCCCAGTATAACATTCTTAAGAAAATGGTTCATGGATAATCTACAACATATACTAATAAGATTTTATTGACCCTTAATTCGTTCTGTTAAAATTTATGAAAACTTGGGTTGCTTTTGTTCCCTTATGAAATCTTGTAATTTTAAAATAGTAGGCCTAGTGCAATTATGAATGCTA